AGTAGTATTATTAAGGACTTTTACATCTATGTTCATCATGGAAATAGCCTCTATTTTTCTTCATTGTGTTTTCTTGGTTTGGGCATGAATGAGTTTGGAACTGCTAAGTACCTTTCTATTTTGTGGAGTATTGAGGAGCACTGACATTTGTTTTCAAGAGATTGGAAGGATTCATCAGTAGGTTTGCCTGCTCCTGGGCTTTCCTATGCAGATTCTTTCCTCATAAATATTTCAATCTTGTTATTTATCATATCTTCTTACTTGAATTTATATCAAGAAGTTTCTCAATTCCATCCACATTTTCCAGTCCAGGAGAAGGACTCTCAGGGTTTTTAAAAACAGATTTCTTTGGGGGATGGGTGGGTTAGCCTGGAGAGACAGCCCAGCAGTTAGGAGCATGTACTCTTCTCGCAGAAGACCAGGTCTGCCTCACAGCAATCCCATGACATCATAACTTCCTGAAGTGCTGCACCTAGGGGATCTGTTGCCCTCTTATGTCTTTCCAGGTCATAAAAATAAAATTATACAAAAAAGACTTATAACACTATTTGAAATTATAGGTAGTACATGTGAGTGTACATGTAGGCGACCTCAAGTGTGTGTGTTTGTCTGTGTTTGCCCTTGTGATCGTCCACGCATGTGTTTGGATGCCCTCAGAGGTCAGAAGTGTAGGATCTCCTAGAAGTGGAATCACTTGATCCTCTTGGCCTGGGTCCTGAGAACCAAACACAGGTCCTCTGCCAGAATAGTCAACCTTCTGATCTCCTGAGTCATCTCCCCACCAAGACACTCTGGGTTTGGGGGGTTTCTGTTGTCTCATCAACTTCTCATGCATATGATTTTATTAGTATCTTCTCTCTCAATGAGTGTTCAGCTCAAGTAAGAGGATGATTCTCCTTCCCAATCAGTGGTTCATAGCTTCTGCGACCCTTTGTTTTATTCTCTCAGTTTCTGGGTGAATCCGGCCAACCTGATCTGTGTTATGTTCTGCTGTCCACTGCTTCGGAAGGTACTTCCTTCCCTTCCTGAGCACTATGTACCTGGTTAGGTTGCCTGAAATATCTGTGACTCTTTTTCTCTTTGGAATGTAGGAATTCATAGTGATAAACATTCTCATTGGTGTGATTTAAACTGTTGGTTTAAAGTTCCCGTTGTGTGTTTCAGCGAGAACCTGGTCATGGAGCAGGTCAGAGAGACCCTCTACTGTGATGAGGAGAGATTTAGCAGTATCTATCAAATGACGAAAACTCTGGGACGAGGAGCCTTTGCCAAAGTCAAACTGGCCTTTCACATTCCCACTGCCAGCTACGTGGCTGTGAAGATTCTAGAAAATGTGAAGGGGGACTCTGCCCGGAACAAGGAGGTTGATATAATGAGATCCCTCGTTCATCCGCATATTATCAGGTTCTTTCAGGAGGTGAAGACACGGGAGATGACGTATGTCATCATGGATTATGCCTCAAAAGGGAACCTGTTGCATCAAATTCGCAAACCGGGAGGCTTGCAGGAGTGCGAGGTACGAAGGCTATTTAAACAGGTAGTACAGGCAGTGAAGTACTGCCATGACAACTGTATTGTCCACAGGGACATTAAAGCCAACAACATCTTAATCGACGCCTCTGGGAATGCCAAACTCTGTGATTTTGGCCTGGCAGTCAGAGTTGTCCCCGGGAAAAAACTAAAGACTTTCTGCGGCACTCTGACATACTGTGCCCCGGAAGTCTTGAAAGGGAAGCGATATGATGGATATGCCAGCGATGTTTGGAACTTAGGCGTGGTCCTCTACTACATGGTGGCCAGGGACCTTCCGTTCCAAGCGAGCTCTTTTAAGGGGTTGAAGCAGCAAATTTTAGCTGCAAACTTCAGTATTCCTCATCATGTCCCACTTGATATTTTCAATCTAATCGTGGAAATCTTCATGAACAGCCCTAAAAAGAGGCCCACCATCAGTCAAATCCTGAGGTGCCCTATGATCAGGGACAGCCAGGCACGGGCATCCATCCAGAGTCTCCCAGGCACCCGGAGCCCTAGCATTGTCGGCACCATGGCAGGCATGGAGTACCAACGAGAAGACCAAAAATTTAATGAGGCAATGGCCACATACCCGAGTCTGCAACACCAGGCACCCGGGGGAGACTGCTGCCATCACCGGGTGAAACCCACAAAACCCATGGAGCCAGGCCTTGTCCTCAACCAGGCCGATCTTCACCTCTTTTCTGGGAACATCAGGAGAGCTGCTGAGCCTACTCCCCCAACCTTCATTGTTCCATCTGAGCCCCAGGAGAAAGAAGATGAGAATTCCAGGCAGGGTGGCAGAAGGCATAG